CTCAAATTTTGTCATTCAGTCATCTCAGATTATTATTGCTGTTTGTCTTTGTCTACCTTGTGTTCTTTCTTGCATGTGTTTGTTTATTCATCAGGAAACTATGCAGAAAAATCAAAATTTTAATACTGAAGCATTCCCAGCCCATCAAGAAGGATGTGTAGCAGTTCAGGAAAGAGAGCAGTGCAAGTGCCTGGTACTGCTGAAGAGGCATCAGGTGATACTTGACAGTGGTTGTGCATTTCTTTGGCATGGGATAGCTGGATAGGAGTCTCCAAAGAGTGCAGTTGGATGGCGACAGGAAAGTGATCAAAAACCTTATTTCACATTTTGAAGAACGGACGACACAAGCTTGATCATAAGCGGCTGTGAGATAGTGGTCAGAAGCCTGGTAATACAGACTAGTCAGGCTCTGAGGTGGACTTCTTTGGTATCAGTCTTGGTCAGTTCTGCCCTCTTTCAAAGCATGACTTTTAGCGTAGTTCCCTGAAGACTATGCTACCAAAGTCATGTTCTGTAGTTCTGGCTGCTGTTTCTTTCAACACTGCCAGTTAGATCTGCTCCCCAATGTGAATCACGTTGAAAAGAAGTGGTAAGAAAGAACATGGGGAATGCATCGTAGACTTCAGCCAAGCAAACAATTATCTATATGGAATCAAATATCAAACTACAGCTGCACGGGAAGAATGTAAGTGCTTGTGGTTGTCTGATGTTCTTGAAAACGGTCAGTCCTGCAGAAGTGCTCACCATCATGGACCATCGTTCAAAGGAAATCCACTTTTCAAAAGAAAAACCAACGACCAAAACCAAGTTAATTTGTTGCAAGAAAATAATTTGTATCTTGTTGATTACTCTGTGAAGAGAGGAGCGAGATGAGCCCCTGAATTCTGCCTATACACTAGAACTAATCAGAACAGTGTCTGATGGATGTTACGTATTTTTAAGTGTTATGTCATATTGGAAGTGATTCCAATTCCTGACAAACAGGAAAGAAGTAAGGTTAACTTGTCTGGTGTATTTTAATTAAGGATTGATCTATGAAAGAGCTATCCACATGCTTCACGTTCCCATTCTGAGTAGTTCAGTCTGCTTCAGCTGAAGTACCAGAAAAGGTGCTAGATAGAGCAATGTCGAAATCTGTGCAGGACCGAAATTTCAAAATTCTCAAAATCTCCTGGTTTGCTAATTGCATCCAAATACGTACTTAGCCCAGAATTTTGAAGCTTGGATGCCACAGGTGAACACAAATCTCAATTTTAGTGGCATTTATGGTTATTCAGAAAATTTTATTATCAGCATTTATTTTTGCTTTCTAATATTAGTAGATTAAGATTGCAATACCTGTGATTGAAAACCAAATGGCCTTCATACAACACAAAAATCTTCCTTCATAGAAACAAAAATGTAAACAAGAAGGAAAAATACTCCCTTCTGAAGCCCTTTGGATTTTTTTCTTCTTGCTCCTTTAAGTCCTGCTTTCCTTCTCAGGGATTTGTTTCTTCTTCTAACTCCCTCTTCGCTGGTCTTTCCTTTCAGATGATGCCAATAAAGGGAAAAGGCAAGATTTCAAAACAAACAAACGAACTGGAGTCCATTGATTCTATTGCTGCTGCTTTCAATATTGGTCTACCCACAGCAGAGCCATTTTTAACTTGCAGAGTTTTAATGAATTCAAAACAAAGGAAATGCAAACAAACAAACAATTGAGGGGTGTACTAAGTACACCTTATTTACTGCTTTTATTGAAAAGAGAAGTTAAGGCTGACCTGGAAGCGTAGTTCTGTGCAGTGCCAGGTCTGTTGTAGGTCCAATACCAGGCCTGATTGTTTATCCCTGACATTTGTAAGGGGTGAGAAGTGCTGTGTGGGCAGCGTGCTGAGTTGTTAAAAGTGCGTATGGAGTGTCCCCTGTCAGTCACCAACAACCTTCCAGCTGGTTGAGGACCACCGTTGACAAAATCGCATGGGAGCTTTGTCTCATCCTTGTGTGGAACAAGGGGAAGCACAGGTCTCTGGAGTGGTATAATGAAAATGAAAAAAAGTAATTGGGAAATCCTCAGGGATGGAGAGAAAACACGGAGTACCGCGAGTTGAGTGGGAGAGAGTAGCAAAAGCTACAGTCATTTTGGATCTGAATGCAGTTTTGTTGAAAGACTCCGTGAACGTAGCCATGTGAATTGGTGAGCCCAAGTCTGAGTTCTCTCTCTTTGTTTTCTAGCTCAGTAATTAGCAATATTTAATATGCTCAGGTCTGCTGTAATTGAGAGGTGATGACTATTAAAGCAGCCCCTCTGATACTGAGCAGCTTGATAGCTGTTGGTGGGAGCCAAACTTCCCACAGAAACTGGACGACAAAAGGGTGACATGAAGTAATTTATGTAAGCTGAAACAACACTATAGAATAAAAGATAAAAAGAATCTTATTCCTCAAGTATCCCTTCCGCTTGTTGATCCAGAGAGGAAAAACAACATGGGATCTAGATTTTGAGGCTGAGATAGGAAAATAATAATGGTATGGTATTGAAAAACATACTACTTATCTCTCATGCTCATACATTAAGTTCTATCCAAGGCAAAATTTGGCAGCTGATAGTACGGGCCTTTGAAGGACTGCTTCTTGCTCTCTTCTCATTACAGAAAAACTGGAGCTAGTGCATGGGAATAATGCATAAAAAAGTATTGATCAAAAATATGTTCATAAATAAACCCAGGTGGACTACTGCAAGAAGTGATCAAACATATAACACAGATTATCATACTCATCTACCTGAACTCCTTTCAGGTGCACAGCACAGCTTTTTAGAAGAAAAAAGTACACTTGTGTTTTTTTTAAAAAAGAGGTATTTTATTAAATGTTTGGTGAGTCATTCCAGTGGATTGTCTTCTTCACTCTTAAGAACTGGAGTTTATTCTGATTAATAATGTCTACTTTTGTGTCTGCATATTAGGTCACCTATGCCTTTATCTGCTATACTGCAGATTTTTATTTATCAACATTCATTTTCTCTGTAGCTGTATACAGAGTAAATGCAGAGATTCATCTTACCTAACATTAACCTAATGTCATTATCCAAAAGTTAGGCAGTAGTCTAAGATAGTCATTTGGACTCGCTGTTTAGTCAGAGGAGAGAAATAAGCAGCTCCTGGAGGTAGTTCATGCCATCCTACTATGTGACTAGTTAGACTGGGTGGCTGACGTTAGGTGGAATGCTTTCTACTTTGAAGCATCACTTTTACTTTTATAAGCAAAATACTTCTTGAGGTTTTTGAGTCTTTTACTAAGTAATTTTTCAAACCTTTCATCATTCTCTAGCATCTTCTTTGCCTTTTCCTGTTGGTTTACATTATTCCCGAACTGTGATCACAGTATTGATGTAGTGACCAGGCTAATGCCATCAGAAAGCATAGAGTCTTCTAGATCCTGTCATTTTTTTGGCCCTAATGCTTCTGCGCTGTATTCCTTCCTTCTATATGCAGAGATTATATTAGCCTTAGCAGAATCAGTGCTTCCTCTCTCTCTGATTTCCATTGCTGTGATTACTTTTTCCATGTGCTCCAAATAAATTAAAAACAAAGCAAAGGAAGCTCATTTGAAATGCATGACTTCTCAGTAAACTATAGCACAGGTAAAAATCATTCTGCTTTCATTCAGGGCAGAATCCTATTTTGTGCTTAACATTTCCCTCTGCCCTTTCTGTAAATGCACTGTCTGTGAAATAAAGCTGTGAGTATTAATATCTAAAATTAGGCTAGACTTGTATTTGGATTTGTTTTCTAAATACTTACATGCTAGTGTGTATTAAAACAGGCATTTACAATAGATTCTGTGTATACAATACTAATAAGCAATATGGGATTTTAAAAAATGCATCTGACAAGTTTCACGTTAGATGCATGTTGGTTGTCATATTCCTTTTGCACTGAGCTGTGTCAGAGGCATGATTTTTCGAACTACTTAGGAGTACTGTTTTGACAGAACAGTCTGAGGATTTGGAACCAAAAAAAATGAAGGATCCAGCAAGCTCAAAGTACCTGTGGTTGTGTACTGTTGTAAACGAGGAATGTTTTGGGAGGTGGGTTTCCTTCGAGATGAAATGGATACTTTTTAGAAACTTGATAGAGTGGTTTCAATTTGTACAAGAGATGCAGGGAATGTGGGAGTGTTAATGGATCTAACTGGATTCAGCTACATGAAATTGTGCTGCTGCTGCTGCTGCATTCGTTTACAATAGCATTTCCACTTTTTAAGATCGAGTAGCTATCTCACAGGTTCTAGAAATATAGTGAAGACTGTGTAAATGGGACTAAGCGAAATTCCATCAAAATTCAGTATTTTCTATGTTTTGGGGCTTAGATGCATCAACATCTATTGGATAAGTAGGAATTTTGGCACTTGTTTACCATTAAATGGGAGGATTGGGGAGTTTGGGGGCCAACACTGGTAAGATCTGAGTGCTGCCTTTGTGTCTTTGTATCTCTGCCGTGACTCAGAATTTGTTTGGAATGGTGGCAACCATAAAATGTGAATTCGATATTAGTTAGAGAAATTACTGAGTCCAGAATGCTTGATTTGGATTGGAAATTGTTTCTCCCTGCCGAGCTCTGAATAGCTCTGAATTAAGATGAGTTGCATGTCCTGCTGCAGCCGAGGACTTGAATCCAAAATCTGTCATAATCCAGTAATAAAACCTGCCAGTTTTGCTGCCTCCAGTAATAAAAGAGTGCAGTCCTAGCTAAGTGGAAGGACTGCAGAGGCAGTGACTGGAGCGGCTAGCTCTATCTCAAGTACAGCAGCGCAGGGGCAATGGCTGGGGTTTGAAATAATTTTGTCCTCTTCCATCCCACCCCCTTTTATCTCCACAGCAGCGGGAAGGCAGCAGGAGTCAGGAGAGGGAGGAGAGTGCTGGACGCTGCGCGGAGCGGAGGGAGGAGTAGGAGAGGGGAATGCATAATGCGTGAGTGACAGAGAGCGTGCAGGCGGCTGGCTGAGTCCAGAAGACGCGGATGTCCATGTCCCCGGGTCTAGGTAGGTCTGTCGTCTCTCTCTTTGCGGTGGAGGTTGCTTTGGAAGCATCCTGTATCAGCTGCAGAGATGTTCACTGTCCAGCTCGAGGGTTCTGCCAGCAGCACCTGTTGCAGCAGGGACAGGGTTTAACCAGCGGCAGACGGCGAGCGTGTCGCTCCCCCGTGAGTGGCTGCTGGATAGAAAGAGTATGCTAAGGTTTCTGTTGTTCCAGCAGCTCCTCTTTCTGCTCTGCAGAGCAGGGCAGGTGGAGACAATAGTCTTTCCAATGGAAAATCCTGTTCTCAGGGGATCGTATCAGGATGAAGTGTCCTAGCTGGCAGTTTTTAACTCCTAAAAATGCACAAAACATTAATTTGACTGTATAAATTAGATGAACATAAAAGAAGTGGAGGAGCTGCGTAGGCATTGTGTATTGCCAAGGAGAGTGAATTAAAAATAAGAATGAATTTTTCAAACCATCATCTGATAAGGAATGAGTTTTAAACATGTTAATAATTAAAATATGACATGTAAGTGATTACAATTGGAAATATTGCTTGTGCTTCTTGCTTTTCATATGCTGATTCTGTGTAAGACATTGCATAATTCACTCTGGCTGGCCGAGATAAAGTTAAGATCAAATGTATACAGAACTGCTTGCCAAACATCAATCATTGTTTTTTAATGAGTCAATAATTGCTTTATAGTGCAGATGTGAAATAACATGTGATTTTAAAAAATCTTATTCATTAAATAGAAGCCGAAAGTGTTTTTTTCTGGTAATACTTCGCATACATCTTCGAGAATGAGTCTTGCAGTTAAATACTAAGCATTTTGAGAATCTGCCATGAGGGCAGTTTAATAACTGAAGGTAGAATGTGATATATTTAGTCTATCTGTCCCTTAAGCCTGAAATAAGCTTTCTTCTACTAAATGTATTCAGTGTTTCTGTGTGGAAAGGAGAACCAGATTCCCAAGGAAATGAAATAATTTGTGGCATATTAGGCTTAGAATTGAAATGACTGAATATTTGATAATGTAAAAGCTAACGTATTTCAAGGGTGTACAATTTTTAATTTCTGATTTGTTGTTATTAGTAATATTTGTGTTGTTGATTGATTTCTAACATACAGTTTTTGCTTTGCTAGCTTTCTAATACACTTTTGTGTTTTAATAGCTGTACATGAAGAAATCAATGGTATTTTCTAAGTTTGCATCTGAGTGAACTAGTTAATATCCATAATGGGAGCACATGCTTATTAGCTTGTAATTGTGGTCTGTGTCCTGGTCACGTGGAAATCAATGGGAAAAATTATATTTGCTTTTGTGAGAACTAATCCAGGGTAGTTTATTTGTGCTGTCAGCATTTTTAAGGCTGAAAAATAATAATGGATGAGTTTTAAAGAGTGGATACTAGTGAATGAGATGGATCCTTATGCATTCAAACCTACAGTGCAATATTTCCCTTGGAAATTGTTGTGAGCTTTATTTGAATTAAATTTTCAGAATCAGGTCTAAATCATAACCTGTTATTAAAACCTCTAATATACATTGAATTTTGTTACTTAAACTTACTGTCCTCCAGGGTTTTTTTGTTTGCTTTTGGAATTCCATTAAAAAAATAAGAGTGCTTAAGTCTGCAAATGCTTACACGCATATTTAACATGTGAATATGATGACTGAAACTGAACTATTGGAGAAGCTATGAAAGCATATACCTTTAGTGTATAGCACTAAAGAAGAATACCACTACAGAGGTCTGTAAGGATATCAGTCATGGGGTACGAACAATTTATGGCAATTTGGGAGAAAAATATTGATGACCCAAAAATCACCTTTGATATTGTTACACAGCTACCATAGGTGTTCAGAATTACAGCATGGTAACGATGAGTTGATTATTAATTATTGTATTTTTAAAAGTACATAGCAATAGTCTATAAGCTTAACAAAACTTTAATTTTAGAATGTTTCATTGAAAACTTGATGGAAAAGTATGTCCTTGCATCAAACTTCGAAGAAAAGGAGAGTTAAAATTTGTCTCAACTACATCTAAGGTAGTTTTGGAAGCTTCAAAACAGTAAACTGTATGTCTAACTCTTGCTATTATTTGAGATACGGTATCTGATGCAATTCAGCTTCATTTTATTGCTGGATAACCCTGCTCTCTGATTTTTTTTTCTTTCTTGGCCAGCCTCTTCCAGTGTGTTCTTGGTATTGTGTCAATTTAGTTGTTCACTAAGAAATACAAAAATGTAGGTAGACGAGAGAAAATACAAAGTATATGCTGAAATTCTTTGCTCAGGGAGTACTAAGCCTTGACCTCCTAAAGATACAATCACATACATTACTATTTTTACATGTGTAATCCTATTGATTGGTTTTAGTCATTTGTACAAATTGTGCCCGTGTTTCAGCTCTACAAGACTGGTCGATTTAGGTACAGTCACTGTTGTATATAACGGTGAATATAACACTTTTCCTCACTAGAAAGGAGCATACATAGTATCTGAATACTTCTTTCAATGTGTATTAAGACTCAGATGCTATATAACATCTCCATATTCAAAGCGAAGCTTACAGAACCATTGCTGTTGATTGCAGGCATTTGTCATGGTTCCAGAAATTCAAGAATTATGTCTATCTAATAGGAGCTATACTACTGTTTCCTAGAAAAAAAAGATTGACAGGAGGAATCAATGTTAGAGGGCATTTATCTTATTGCAGATGGACCTACTGTAACTTTTTTTACTCTGAAAAAAGTTACTGAATCACAAATGATACTATTTCTGCAAAGCCTCACTTGCCTAAATCACTCTTTGAGTGAATAATCTCACTGGAAAATACTCTGTGTCAATAAACATTTTCAAGACTGAGTTTATTGCATACATGAGAACTTGTTGCTGTTTGCAGAAGGAATTTGGAAACCGGGAGTTCTGAAATATGCTTAAAATATGAAAAACATTGTTTCATAGATTGGCATATGAATATTTCCTATAGAACTTGTTAAAGTTGTTTAAATTCCTTTTACTGAAATATTTTGTAAGTCCAAACCAAGGTTGCTATTAAGATAAAGTTGTACTTATTTAAACAGCCTTATTTGACAGTCTAAATATCTCTGGCAAAATTAAACTGCAGAGAAGATGCTTTCCATGTTCATCGCAGCTTTTGTGTTTGTGGATTTTTTAGCAAGTTGAAGATAGAATTTCCTCTAGAATGTTATAGCAATATCTTCTTATATACCAAGAGATTTGTGTTTGGTTGTCTCATTTTGTATCTAGTATAGATTTATTAGTTAGAATATGGTTATGATTCTCATTTTCAGATGGCAAAAGAAACTTCCTTCTCCTCACTCACTTGTCCTGGACTGGTCCAGTATGTTACTGTTCTGAATTGTTTCAAGCTTTGCTTCATTAAGGATTTAACATGGCCTTAATTCAGCCATCTGTTATGGGTTTGGCAGACCAACAGATCTGAGGTATTGGTCAGAGCTTTAGAAATTTCCCACATTTTTAAAGGTTAGGAAAAGAGCTACCTTTATGAATAGATTTTGAATAATTCTCAGCAAGACAATGGTGCAGAAGTGGGGTAAAAAATGCATGTCATTCTCTGAAGCACAGGGTCCCCTGTCTGCCTTTAGCTTTGCTGAAAGGCAATTAGCATTTCAACCAGCCAATTTGGTTACATGCAATGAAGTACTTGGGTTTGTAATTTGCTGCTCTCGGCTTGGTGCTGTTGAGAACTAGCTCTGTGTAATCCTCTCAAAGCACCTTTCTTTCCAGCATAGTTATTGTTGCTGGTCTTAAATAACTAATCAACAAAGAGATTTCCTTGTCTTGAACTACAGGGTGCCTTAGAAGAACGAAAAGAAATACCCAGTTAATAAGGGAATGATTATAATTATTAAATAGTGATTATTAAATTGTGACATAGGTTAAAAGGTTTAGAAAGCCAAGGAAAGCACAAAACATGATAAAGGTAGCGTAAGAAGTCTTTGAACCCAAACAAATTTTGCCTGGGGAGTTGCCTTCACCACATAAATACTTTATCATGTGTTTTATTTAAAAACAGATTGCCCAGATTTAAGAGATTAATTCACAGTATAGATTAGAGTGAGGGCCCCATGCTAATCATCTTCTCGAAAATGATGCAAATATATTTTTACTTCTACAGAAAGAAGTCTTTGGGGGGACTTTGTAAAATACAGATCTGTAATAAATCAACGTTCTTTGCTGCAATCTAATAAAACATGAATACATTTAACTATAGAAATGAAGCTTGTTTTGATATAAGTCTTAAATTTAATATATATGGTTGATACAAATTTTCATGTTTAATAGTACACTTTTATGCACTCAAGAATAACTTGCTGACACAATTATTCTAATAATTAGGCAGCACATTAAAATTCTGTTTGGTTCATACATGCGTATTAACCTGTAAGAATCCGCTGTGGATAGAAATAATTCTTCTGTCAGTATACCTGAAGTAATGCCATCTAATCCCCACCATGAGGCTGTAATTTACTGTTCTATACATTACAGGTTTTTATTCTTGCAAGATTATTATGTGTGAAGCACTATTGCAAAACAGGTTGTTATATTTTTGTTTTTAAGTAGAAAAATAACCACTCTACAGCAGAAGCCCATAATTACTTTTTCTGACATATGCTGTTCATTCAGTCTGTAGTACTTCATTCAGGGCAAGCACTAGGTATGAAGCTATGGTAGTTTTGTCCTCAGCTCACATGTTCTAAAAAAAGTGGAACTATTGAGAACATGCGAGAAACCTCCAAAGCAGAGATACAAACAGGAATTATTGTGAAACTTCAGATCTTTATTGAAGTAGAATAAATGGGTGTTCCTCACTGAAGCCTGCAGACCTTTCTCAGCTGGATTTCTGGTTCTGTGTCTGTAAGAGCCTTATCCGGTGGCAGGCTCAGTCGTGCAGTTACTTCTACAATAAGGGATTTTTTTGCTTGCTTTTTTGTGCAAGAAACCATTTGAGAGAGAGTATAAATG